AGTTTAAAGAAAACATTTGTGCATATTGTAGCCAAATAATTCAAAGTGTAAAATGAGTTCAGTCAATTTATGGTACTGGCTTAATTACTCCATTAGTCATCTATTGTCACCCCAAAATGCAGTGGGTTTAAACAGTCACCATTTTATTTTGACACATGGCCATCAATTTGGGCTAGGCAATGCAAAAACCTGAGCTTGGCTCAGGTGATTCTTCTGATAGTGTCTCCTGGAGTCACCAGTGACACTTGGTGACTTGAGTGAAGCTGCCTCACTCACATGTCTGGTTGTTTGCACTTGTCATTTCCTGGGCCTCATGAGCTTGGCTATCCTCAGATGGTGGGAACTGCATTTTAACAGAGCAGGAGTAGAAGCTCCTAGACTTCTTACTTTGTTGGCCTGGAACATCTCCAGCGTCACTTTTACCACATCCTGTTGGCCAAAGCAAGTCATACGGTGAGCATAGAGTCAAAGGGATTGGGAAACAGATTCTACCTCTTAAAGTGAGGAACTGCTAAGAATGTAAGGCTATTTTTAATCTTTCACTGTTGTATTACGTTCTGATATTTGATTTTCCTGTTTATGACATAGAGATACCCCTTGTAAATGTTCCAGATAACTTATGAAAATTCATAGAGGAATGCTAACACAAATGTTTATTTGAGTACAATAAACAATTATTATTATTATATTTCCTTTGCATTTCAGTGTAGATAAATATTTTAAAAAATAAAACATAAGATTACAGTTAAAATTGGATGTTTTGGTAACTTGTGTATTGGTATAAGCCTCAGGCCTAAGTGAAAATTCAACTAACAAAATAACTGTCTATAAAATCAGGGAAGTTGTCAAGTTGTCAATCTCAGCACTATAAGTCTAATTGTAATAAATTCTGCTGCGGATCTGGCACAAATTTTAGTAGCTGCAGAATGAGAGAACCATCTTTGATAAGAAAAATTACCACCTCTTTAACAAACTCCTTAGTAAATTATTGTGATGTCTTAAGCCTGTCTTTGAAATTTTATGAAAAACTAAATTACTTTGAATCTTTCAATATTTGGTTATCTTATCTGTATGCGCTTCTTATTAGCACCATAACACCTGTACAGATTGATAGCACATTTTATTACCTTTAATTGGTACAGAAGGAAAATGAGACTTGAAGAAATCAAGGTTGTTTCTGAATAACAGTTTGAAGTTACTTACAGCTTTTCATTTGTACAAAGGACAAGATGTGATCAGCCAATAGAATGTTGTCAGGTTGTTGAAACATCTCATTTAAAGACTGAAATAGTTTTTTTCTCCTTCCTTCACATGCCCATATCTTGTTTGTGCCTCTTTGAGTATTTCTCTGTCTCAAATGCATATCAGCCTTCAAAAAAAAAAAAAAAAAGATGATTTTCTTTTTGTCTTTTCACCAGTTCAATGTTACCTTCCCTGTAAAGTCTTTCCTGACTGCCCTGGGGAAGTCCTCCCTCCCCTCTGCTTCCACCATGGCTCAGATATACAACCGACAACACAGACTACCTTCTAGTTTAATCTGTTTGCTCGTCTGTCTCTCAAAACAGACTGTGAACCACTCAAGAGCAGAAATTCAACTTTTATTATCTTCAAATGCCTAGCATCAAGCAAAGGCCCTGGCAAATAATAAATGCTCAATTATAATTAGTAAAAGAAAATAACTTACTATTTAGGCTAGTTTTAGCTTTAAACTGTATCAACATTTCAGTAACCACTAGTTCTTCAGTTAAATGTTGTTATAGGTTGAGTTATGTCCCCCTCAAATTTCTATATTGATGTCCTAATCCCCAGTACTTCAGAATGTGACCTTATTTGGAAGTAGGGTTCTTAAAGAGGTAATCCAGTTAAAGTGAGGTAATACAGTTAAAGTGAGGTAATTGGAGTGAACCCTTAATTCAGCGTGACTGGTGCCCTAATAAAAAGGGGAAATTTTGAGATAGACATGCATACAAAGAGAACACCATGTAAACATAAAGATGAACACCCACTGAGCATGTAAAGTGCCTGGAACAACTCCTTCTCTCACAGTCCTGAGAAAGAAACAACCCCATTAAACCTGTATTTTGGAATTCCAGAGTCCAGAATTGAAATATGAAAACATTTCTGTTGTTTAAGCAACCCAGTTTGTGGTACTTTGTTATGATAGCCCTAGGAAACTAATACAAATGTTTTGCTCTTTGATTTGTTAATGCAAAAATATGTGGTCACTATGATATAATCAAAGTCACTTATAAAACTGCTTAAGAAATAAAATTAAATCTCATAGTTCACTATTAGTTAATTAACCTTGAAGCCAATGGAAACTGCTACCTTCAAACAATACGTAAAGTGTTGTTTGCAGTTCTTTTTAAAATTATAATTTATTCTTTTTCTTTAATGCCATGAAAAAAATAACAGACCAGATTATCTTTCTACTTTAAATAATTAAAACACAAAATACATGAAGCGATGGACATTTGACAATAGGAATAATGGGACAGTAATCTCTGTGAGAAGAAAAAAAAAACAGAGGCAAGCCCTTCGATGACCCCAGAGTACCATGTAGAGAGCATTTCCAGAAATGATCATTGAAAGGCAAAGTTCAGAGTTCTTTGTTGTCATTCGTTTTGTTTTGCTTTGAATGATTTTTTTTTTTATTTTTACTTTAAGTTCAAGGGTACACAGCTAAACTTTTGTCACGGGGCTTTGGCCTACAGATTATTTTATCACCCAGGTATTAAGTCTAGTACCTATTAGTTAATTTTCCTGATCCTCTCCCTCCTCCCACCCTCCACCCTCCAATAGCACCCAGTGTGTGTTGTTCCCCTCTGTGTATCCGTAAGTTCTTATCATTTAACTCCACTTTTAAGTGAGAACATGCAGTATTTGATTTTCGGTTTCAGTGTTAGTTTGCTGAGGATAATGGCCTCCAGCTCCATCGACGTCCCTGCAAAGGACATGATCTCATTCTTTTTCATGGCTGCCTAGTATTCCATGGTGTTTATATACCACATTTTCTTTATCCAGTCTATCTTTGATGGGCATTTAGGTTGATTCCATGTCTTTGCTATTGTAAATAGTGCTGCAGCAAATACACATGTGGCTGCCTTTGTAATAGAATGATTTATATTCTTTCTGGTATATACCCTGTAATGAGATTGCTGGGTCTTTAGGGCTTTGAGGAATTGCTGCACTGTCTTCCACAATGGTTGAACAAATTTAAACTCCCATCAACAGTGCTTAAGCATTCCTTTTTCTCCATAACATTGCCAGCATCTGTTTCTTTTTTACTTTTCAATAATAGTCATTCCGATTGGTGTGAGATGGTATCTCATTGTGGTTTTGATTTGCTTTTCTCTAATGAACGGTGATGCTGAGCTTTTTTCATGATTGCTGGCTGCATATATGTCTTCTTTTGAAAAGCGTCTGTTCATCTCCTTTGCCCATTTTTAATGGGATTTTTTCCTTCTTGTAAATTAGTCTAAGTTCCTTATAGATGGTGGATATTAGAGTTTTGTTGGATGCATAGTTTGAAAAAAAATTCTTCCATTCCATAGGCTGTTTACTCTGTTGATAGCTTCTTTCACTGTGCAGAAGCTCTTAAGTTTAATTCTATCCAATTTGTCAATTTTTTCTTTGGGTGCAATTGCTTTCAGCATCTTGGTCATGACATCTTTGCCAGTGTCTACGTCCTGAATGGTATTGCCTAGGTTGTCTTCACCATGGTGTTTATATTTTGGGGTTTTACATTTAAGTCTTTAATCTATCTTGAGTTAATTTTTGTATATGGTTTAAAGAAGGGGTCCAGTGTTAATCTTCTGCATATGACTACCAAGTAATCCCAGCACCATTTATTAAATACGAAATCCTTTTCCCGTTGCTTGTTCTTGTCAGGTTGGCTGAAAAATCAGATAGTTGTAGGTGTGTGGTCTTATTTCTGGGTTCTCTATTCTGTTCCATTGGTCTATATGTCTGTTTTTGTACCAGTACCATAATGTTTGGGTTTCTGCAGCCTTGTAACATGGATAACAAGTTGGATAGTGTGATGTCTCCAGTTTTAATCTTTTGGCTTAGGATTGCCTTGGCAATTCAGGCTCTTTTTTGGTTCCATATAAATTTTAAAATAGTTTTTTTTTTCCTTCTGTGAAGAATGCCAATGGTAGTTCAATAGCAATAACATTGAATCTATAAATTGCTTTGGGCAGTATGAACATTTTAATGTTATTGATTGTTCCTATACATGACCATAGAATGTTCGTCCATTTGTTTGTGTCATATTCGATTTCTCTGAGCCATGTTTAGTAGTTATCCTTGCAGAAATTTTTCACCTGCCTAGTTAGCTGTATTCCCACATATTTTATTCTTTTTTGGCCACTGTGAATGGGAGTTTGTTCCTGATTTGGTTCTCAGCTTGACTGATGTTGTTGTATGGGAATGCTAGTGATTTTTGCACATTGATTTTGTACTGAGACTTTGCAGAAGTTGTTTATCCACTTAAGAAGCTATTGGACTGCGACTATGTCATTATCTAGATAGAGGATCATGTTGCCAGTTTGCATTTCTTGACAGGAACTTGGTTGTAATCTGAACTCCGTTTTTCTGCAACATATTAAGCTGTATGTGTAGGTCAGGTTTGACAGACTTTATTAAGACCTTAAACGGGATTATGCAAATACAAAAGCCAACGGCAAATACTTCCTGAGGAAATGCATCTTAATTCCCTACTTTGTACAAACATGTTCTTTGCAAACATGCCTAGACATTCTCATGACTCCATTCTACCAGTCACCATTAACCGCAACCAACATCGATCCATTCACAATTATGCAGTTTCACCCCCAGAAAATAATACATTCACTTCTCTATTTAACAAGTTCATCTTAGCATGCCCCCAAAGCCCCAATTAAAACAAAACTTGAAAAACAAACTGTTTCCTTGCTGGCTTGTGAGTGACAACATGAGACTCAGTAAACTGTACCTTTTATTCTTTAACCAGGATAGTGCAAGGAGAGTAATAAAAAAGTTCTCAGGGTTGCAGAGAGCACATAAAAGTGGGCTGCAGTATTGATTCCACCATCCAGACCAGGATCAAGATCAAGGACAGACATGGGTACTCAGAACTCCTCCAGCACTCCTCCTGCTGGCTGTTATTGTCCTGGATACATTTGGTAAGCCAACTGTGGCTTTGATCTTTTCCTTCTAGGCACTAGAAAATCTCAGAAAAGATTCCAGATGTAATGAGATTGTATTTGACATTAAGGAAAATGTAGAAACTGTGAAACTGAAACTTAAGCTGATATATACAGTATTTAGACTGTGGAGCGTCAAAGAATTTCTTGTTGAGTCAAATACAAATGTGTGTTTAACTTCCTAGAAATATCTGACTGTAAGAGTCTGTGCTTTTCTTATTATAGATGATAGCAGGAACGTTACCAAAAATTGGTTTACAGTATTCATTTCAATGATGGTAAGCAGAGAGAAAATGCTACTTTCAATTAATAAAATTCACATATAATCTTTATGTTTACAACTTTTGGTAGAAAGGATCAAGTTGATTTTTGCCATTGGAAAAGTTATCTTACTGACCATACATACTTGTAATAGATGCTCAATAACTGTTTGTTGATCAGGATAATAGTATATAATTAGGTTTGTGTAACTGTCTTCGTAAATATTTCTATCAGTACTGAATTTGTGAATATAGTTGTGTGTCCTGCTGTATTGATTTCTACTTTCAAGTAAAGAAGTAAGCATCATGGCTATGTTTGTTCTCAATAAGGATTTTTCTAAATTTTTCTTACACAATTGATTCCTCTGAGAATCAAGAGTTGTGATGTCAGTGTATTCAGACACATTCTGACTTTATTCTTCACCAATTCATTAAAAATGTTCAGTTGATACATGAGGGTCCTTTCTGCAGAAGAAAAGAAGTCATGTAAGTAGTGAAGATGTGGTGGAGTATGGAAGCCTCTAGGATAGCAGTTTTCAAAGCTGGCATTTCCTTACAAAGTATTCTAGGTTGAAAGTATAGAAGACCTAACCTCTAGGTGTTATTCCCACACAATGTGGGAAGATAACTGCCCAGTCTTGATGCTTCCATTCCTGAAAACATTATGTACTTTCCCCAATAAAAAGGGTTCTCAAATTTGAACACAGGGTATGAATTCATCTGAGTGGAGTTAACCTTATAGTCAGTGAAGATGTACCATAAGCAAAGATACACATTCCTCAGTAAGGATACATGGATAATTAGTTGATCATTGGGAAATCTATTACAAACTTAGTTATGATAAACTCCATATGGCCACATGGCCATGGAGACAACTGAGGCATAAGCCTACAAATAAACAGCTTAGAGACTCTGGAAAACAATTCTGCATTTTATTATTATTATTATTATTATTTTTACTGTAAACTATGTTATATAGATTGCTTCAGCTGTTCATTGCTAGGTAATGAATTACCACAATTTAGTGGCTTAAAATTAGCTGACTTTTTGATTTTCACAGTTTTGTAGCTTAGCAATCTAGGTGGCTTGACCAGGTTCTCTGCTCGGAGTTTCATAAAGTCAAAATCAAGGTGTCAGCTAAAGTCTCATTTGAAGACACTAGGGATGAATCCACTGCCAATCCAGGTTGTTGGTAGAATTCAGTTCTTTGAAGTATAGGACTGAGCTCTTCATATTCTTCCTGGCTGTTGGCTTGGGGTCATTCACAGTGCCTATAGGCTGCTCTCCAGTTCTTTCATATAAGCAACGAACAATCTGCCTTGCATTGAGTTGGTCTCACCCCTCAAATCTCTCTTACTTCTTCTGCTACCTGTCAGAGAAAACTCTCCACTTTTAGGGCTCAAGACATACATTAGGCTCACTTGAATCAACCAGTTTGTATTAATTTAATAAACTCATAGTAATCTTAATTACATGTGCAAAAATATCTTTTGCCATGTGAGATAACACAACTATGGGTATAATATCTCATTATATTCACATTCCTAGGAATGTGCAGTATGTGTTTTCTGGTCAGCACTTTTAGTGTCTTATTTTCAAAAAAAATCTTACTTTTACAGGGTTTACAAAAATATTCTTCTATATTATCTTCTAGAATTGTTACATTTTTTTCTTTGTGTTAAGACCTGAATCCATATGGAATTTATTTTGTATATAATGTGAGAAACATATCCAATTTTATTTTTCCATATGATTCATCAATTATTTCAGCACCGTTTAATAAAACATCATATCCTCACTGATACACAATACTATTTCTGCCATACATTGAGCTCTCCTGAAAGCAGAGGGATGATTCAAACCTCTCTTCTCTTTCCCATTCATCAGTTTGGCAACAACTGTACACAGTCTTCATTATTAATATTTTATAAATTTTAACACCTGGGATGAGAAATTCTTCCATCTTGTTCAAGAGTGGCTTGTCTCTTTTTGGACTTTATTGAGGCCTTCTTTAATGTCTTTAAAGTTTCATAATTTTCTTCATAAAGGTTTCCCATACTTTTTATTATAACAAACATATTTCTTGCCACTTTATATTGTTTGATGCTATTGTAAAGGGTATCTTTATAAAATGTAACATTCCAGCTGTTACTGTTTGGACACACAATTTATATTGGTTTTGTAACCACCAACCTTTTACTTGAGTAGTCATAGCATCTGGGAAAAACGGCAGTTTAGTTTTCCTCTTTTGGCAACTCTATGCCTTTTGTTTATCTTTCTAGCTTTACTGAGATATCTGCAATGATAGTAGGTATACTGTCTTGTTTCAGCACTCAAAGGGGTTACTTTCAAGTTTTCACTATTGTGTATGATGTTTTAGGCTATCCTTTTATTGGTAATTTGCTAAGGATTCATTATTATATTATTTTTATTGATTTTTATCATGGAATATTGCTATGTTATTTTCTTAAACTCTGGAATACATACCTCTCGCTCAGGGTGTGGTAAGATGATCCAGTACTAGAGATGCTGGTGGAACTTTGTGGTTTTGTGAACTGCAGTTGAAAACTACAAAATTAATATAAATAAAAATATTGAACCTCTCCCTGCCCAATGATCAATGAGCATTTATGAAGCTGAACGCTTTATCAGAGATATAACAATAAAGAATATATGATAAGAGACTGACCATTGTCAGCCTGGAAGACATTACATTTGTGTAGATTTTCCAGAGTCTTAGCAGTATACTTATGTACTATGTACATAAGTCAAATAATGTGTGCTGACTGGTTGATATCTCAAAAGATTCTAAAGAAGATGTCATTATTTAGTTGGTAAAAAATTTAGCAATGCACACTGAAATGATTAAAAGTTGTACTCTAATAATATGATAAATTTAGTTTGAGAAATCGGAGTGTTCATTCTAAGCATATTCATTTTATCTTTCAAAAATTCTAATGAATAAATTTAAAGCATTGTTAAATTAATCATAGTTATTATTTAGCCAGAACATTCTTTTCTTTTCAAAGCCACACTGAAAGATGGGAAAATAATTTGTTTGGATCCTGAGGCTGAATGGGTGATGACTATTATCCAAGAGATTATGGACAAGTGTAATTAATGCCAAGGATTCTCATATTCACTTTCTTTATTCTTCTAATTAAATATAGACTTAAAATATATACAAACTTTGCTTTAGATTAAAATAAAATAATGATAAGATTAGAATATGTCTATTCCAGAGAATCAAAAAGATTAGTCCCCAGACCACCTGGGAACTTCATAGAAATGAAAATTCTCAGGTTTTACTTCAGACCTACTCAATCAGAGTTTCTGTGGGTGGCCCCAAAAGTTTGCTTTTTAAAACACCCTCATGGTGAGTCCAATGCACTCTCTAATTTTAGAACTATTACCAGTTAACACCTTCTATTTAATATTGTATCCAAGTTGACTTGTGTTTAAAATAACCCCATGGAACACAAAAGTTACATAAAATTGCTATAATCTGTTTTATACAGACCAGCTAAGTGGGCAATAGACCTATTTGATGAAAGAAGTTTCAAGGGACAAAATTGCTCCTCTTTGAAAAAAGGTATTTCTGGCACCGCACTTTTAGAAATTAAGCTTCAGGTAGAATCTGCAAATCAGTGGATGGAGAAGGGATAATTAGGATAGGCAGATAATAACACGAGTGTGTTTGGATTAACTTCTAAAAATAAGAAACTTGAATATTTTCTGAATTTTTAAGCCATAGAAGTGTGTCCACTCATAACAAAAAACAAGCAAACAAACCAAAAACATGTTCTGTATTTTTTAAATTAAAAAACACAAAGAAAAGCAAATTAAGGGTATTTGGAGCTTATGATTCACCTGAGGGTCACCTTGGTGGTAGAGAGGTGTAATGTGCTGGGAAGAGTTTGGGTTTTGAATCCCATAGCTGTGGCTTAACATTCCAGATCTACCAACTATAAGTTACATCATTCTGGAGAATTCCCTTAACACTGGGGATTTACATGCTTTCATTTGTTTTTATTTTGTTCTATTGTGAGAGAAGTAGAGATAACACATGTAGAGTGTTTAATTATGGCTACTAATTTTTGACCTACTAAATGAATAGGTTTTTTTCTTTATTCTTATTTCTTTATTTCTTTATTCTTTGTTGTTGTTTTTTTCAGATGCCTTTCTTAGAAACACACCACATGCCGCTAATCCTGTGTGTCTGTGTAGTTACATGTCACTCTGCTTGTATTGTAGGTCTCCTAACTGATGTCCACACAAGGAACATCACATCTTATGGGTAACAAGAGACCATGGTGTCATCATGAGCATGGACATCCTCCAGAATTTTCATTGAAGGGGCACTACTTTTATGAAAATATAGAACTAGAATGAACTGTTTTCCTTACTCTTTCTGAGGACTAAAACATTGTTTTCAGGCAGGTGTTTGGCTCTTTGTTAGAGGAATAATGACAGACAATGTGATGAAATTTCCACATAGGAAAGAAAATCCCCAAACCTCATATAGTAGGTGAGAGATTTCCCTATAGGCTTAATATATTTTACTAGATTTCATCTCCTCAATTCTGTCCCCTACCACTCTTTAGTCCCTTTAACTTCCTAGTGGACAATAGCAGTTGACTGCTGTTTCTTTTTTTTCTACTCAATTTTTAAAATATCATCCTTAATGACACCAGTGTGCTTTTCTGTTAACTAATACACACTCTGATCTCTTGATGGTTCAACCTTTTATGTTCCAAAGGCCTTAACCTCCACCCCATTGTAGGCATCCACGGACTTGGATCTCACTATCAAGTTGGGTTGCTTTATTTGCTTTATCTCCAGTGTCCAAAACTAAAACACCTTTTTAAAGAAGAATATTTCATTCATTATGACATCTCAAATAAAAATACATTTAGGATGATTATGAGACATAATGCAGTTGTATAATAGAATTGTCTTAAATTTTAAGAATTTACTTTCAGGTAAAACAAATCTAATAGATAAAATTAGTCAAGAGAAGGAATGACCCAACCTAGGGAACTGTAAAGCCATATGTGAGAGGAGGAAGGTGGGAAAAGTAAAGACCATCTGGACCCAGGGAAGATCACAAGGATGCTAGTTCAGAAGGATGAGGTGGAGAACCTAGACCTAAGCGAAGTCCTAATTATTTCGCTTCTTTCTGGTAGAATTTCTGCATATGTAATACCATAGAATATTAAGTGAATAAACATCTCTTTTTAACCACTTCTGAAGAATGTGTTATCAGATGGGTGGTATTCTGTCATGGAGTCAATGCTTCATAAAGGGAATATTTATATGCACCGGAACCCTTAGGGCTTTCTCTTATCTTGTCTTGTGTCTTTGCTTCTCTCTGCTGGCTGAGTTTTCTTTCTTTCTTTCTCTCTCATTCTCACTGCTTCCCTGGTCTCCGTGGAAACTCATCTGCAAAAATGAACTTGCTTTCTTTACAGTTCACTTTCCAATTCCTGGGAGAGAAGATCTTATTGGCCATATTAATTCAGGTGTACATACAGGTTCAATCAACTGTGGCCAGGAGACGATGGTTACATGGTACAAACAAAGCTACTTGGGGTACATCACTATAGAATGAAGAAATAGTTCCCAGGGAAGTAAAAGATTTTTATATTAATTGGGCAAGTACCTCCAAAGCATGCAATCCCTGCATATGTGTATCTGAACATGGGAGAGAGAAAAACAAACAGGGGCAGACAGAAAAGAAAACACATCTCAAAAGAAACAAACTATTGGTCTTTAGAGTGGTGGTATGTACATACTGAAAGAGAACTAGACAAAAAGTCCAGATGTTTGGGTTCTACGATTCTGAGCAAGCATCTGAGCTTCTTTATACTCAGTTGTAAATGTGAAAACATGGCAAAATGAAACAAAAACATCTCCTCCTTGACAAAACTGTCAAGAGGAGATAATAAAATTGAAAATGCCTTGAACATAAACATGAAAAATCAGTGTGTTGTTCTTCTTATTAAAACTATGAGATCACTTCTTAATTAGTATTTAGAAAAGCAAGTTTTATGGTACCTGTTCACATTGCACTATCCATAACTACACATGCACCAAGCCACTAAATTATTTGAAGCAGGTGCCAAGTTTTACTGCTATAGATCATAGCAAAAATGATAATAGTTCTTAAGCTATATACTAACAAGTACCTCTGAGATTGAGCTCTGTGAAAAAACAGACAAAGAAACTTCTCCGGACAACAAGTCCAAGACTAAGTACTTTAGCATATAAAATTCCAAATTTCCAAGGAAAAGGATCTAGTTAGCGCAGATTGAGTCATGCACCCACTCATGGTCTACCCCTCTGTGGGCAGGAAATTAGAAACACACCATAGAGACATGGCTGCCAGAGGTCCTCCCAGGGTGAGGCAGGTGATTCCCAGACTAACAGACACCTCAGTGGGACCTCCCTACCACTCAGAGGGCATTCTTCTTAAATATGAGGGAAGAGTAAATAATTGTAGGTACTTTTGGTTTCAGAGGATATTTTTTCAGGGGTACAGGGGGAGTGATAAAATAACCTGAAAACCCTTGAACTACAAGTCAACTAAAATACTGGCTATGGAAACAATTCTTTTAAATGAATAGCTTAGCTCTCTAGAAAGTAGTAAAAACCCCCAGGACCTCAAAAAAGAGGAATCAGAAAATAGGGCAAGAAATTTAACAGGTTGGTGCCATGGATTGTGTAGAGTAAGAAGGTGGTTGCTCCATCAGTAACCTAGATGTTGACATTTTGATCTCACATTAGAACGGAAGACATGGCTGTGGATCCTTGTAAGACAGAGAGTGGTAACAAAGGTCTTTGTATAAAATCAGAATCCTCAATAGAAATAAATCTGCCAAAAACACTGATTTACAATAAGTAGGCATGTTTGCCCTTAACATGAACAACAGGTTGAATAAAAAACGATTTCTTGAGAAATAGTTTGGGATTCTGTTATAACACCTGTTTCAGCTTGGAACCCCTTGGTACCATAGAAGGAGGCCCAGATCAATACCTGGCAAAAATGAAACTAAAACTGCACTAATCAGACATATTTTCAATAGGCACCACACAGAAGCCTGAAAGATAAAGCCACACTGAAAATGGGTTAATAGTCCAAATTCATAAAACTCTAGAGAAACCATCCACCCTAAACAGGGGTTAAAACTTGGAATAAACAGCACTCCTAAACTGAAAGCGTTAAAATCAACAAAGGAGACCATTACAGAGATGTTTCAAATTGTTAGACATCAAAGAAGGACTTGAAATATAAGAATAAAATAAGATACTAGGAAATCAAACAGATTTGAGAAGCGTATGGGGGAAATCTCAAACAGATAATAGAAAAAAAAAAGAATAGCAAATTTGAAAAAAACAAAGGATCTTCTAGAAATAGGAACACAATGATACAATGTGAAATTTCATAGGGTGGCTTAAGCAGTATAGTTGATTCATCTAAAGAGAAAATTATTTTGGAAGATCTGAGGAAATTACTATGCAGCAGAGATAAAAATATAGAATATATTATATAATAGGAGGTTAAGAAACTTGAAAAATAGTATGAGAATATCTAACTTATTTCTGAAAGAAATTCCAGACCACAAGGAGAGGGAGAATAGGTAAAAAGTAATATTTGAAAGGATAATGATTGAGAATTTTGTAGGATAGATGAAACCCCCGTGTTCAAGAAGCCAAATAGACTTTAAGCAGAGCAGAAAAATAAAACGTTCATGGTCAGCTGCAATGTATTGAAAGTACAAGATCCAAAAGATAAAGACCTGAGAATGAATAAGCATGTTCTAGAAGGACAATTAAAGAAAAGATCAAACTTGAGTCAAGTCTCTGGAAATAATGTAGTTTCTCTAAAATGGAATTGCTTTGGATGAATTAGTTGTAAAACAATATGAAATTGCTGTGGTTTTTTAATGCAACTCCGTGATGAAGCATAAAGGACACTAACTTTGGCTTATGTTAGTTATGACTAAATGTCATATGGTTTCTAAGAGATGCAATGAACTACTAGTAAAAACATCAGGATTAATGATGTGTTTATTTATCAACTAATTTTCTTAGTAATTTTTTGCTTCCGTATGTTTGTGGTTCGAATTTTATGTATCTAATGATTCATACATTTTACATTTTTTCTTTGATTTCTTTTTTCTTCAGGATCAAAGTGTTTTTTCCAAAATATAACCTGCTGGACACATTGAGAAAACTGGATAATTTTTATTGCTCTCCACCCATCCATCTTAATGTGACAATGTGGAGAAGTGCTAAAAATTAAAAGTTAAAACAGGGTTTGGAGAAGACAGACCCTAGATCTAGCATTTACAAGTTATGTGTTTTCAGGCAAATAACAGTTCTGAATCTGTTTTCTCCTGTAAAATGTTAACATTAATATCACTTTATTTGAGGTTTGTTGAGAATATTAAAAAAGCAAATGTCTTCTACTGATTTATGCCCTACGAGTCATAGCAAATTATTTATAGTGTTTCTGAAAATACTGTTCAATTTCTTGGCTTAAAGCTTTTGTTCATACTGTGCCCTCTGTACAGATCAATTCCCTTTACTCTGCCTCCTTACCCTTCACATGACCTAACATTTAAAGGATCTAAGGTCTGAAGAGTGACTTTAGTTTGTGTGTCATCAACGACATCTTCCCACACCCCTTAAGTTAGGGTTATCTGTTCCTCTTCATCTACATAAGCTGCCAAACTTTCAATTGTTTCACATTTAACTTCATTTCATTGAGGAAGCTTTTGAGTCAAATCAAATGTAAATGACTTGCCAAAGATTATAAAACTAGTAAGTGACAGAGCCAAGGCATGAAGCCAGGAATCCTCATTTTTATCTTAAATTACCTCTGCTGCTTATGCTTCAGTTAGCAGGGCTAGCCCCACCCTGGTTAATCCCAAGCTCTGTGGGGTGCTGAAAAATAAAATTTTTAGAAAGATACCCTCTGTGTATTTCTCAGTGAGGTGCATTTATTCCCCATGACACAGTAATTCATCAGGCCTTCTAAGACATCTTGACTGCTGCTCCTTGCCAGCTCTGCTATCCTTTCACTGGATTATCAGGTGCTGTAATCTTGATCTGGACAGATGCATCTTGTGAATTTTATTTTTAGTGCCAACAGAAATACGTTACTTTAATATAGCTAAATCTCCTTCTACAACTCATCATTTTCAATGGAAATTTTTCTCCTTTCTTGAGCCTAATTTATTGTCTGTCACTGCTAAAAAGAATTGTCCTCCCACCTCTCACCATGACCACCACTACCACCATCACCAACCCCTACTGAAACACACATTTACTCACAACTATGCCCAACTCTATGGGCCAGGGAGTCCAAGGAAGAAAAGATGACAAAGT